TGGGTAGTGATACATGCTATAATTAGTGAGATTCTATGATAAGAAATAAAATGAGACAAAGAATTGGATATATGATCAATAGCACCTGTGTCTAGAATCCATTGGGAATAAATATTACCTTGATCCTGAGAAGAAGTAGAAACATTATGAGAACTCACTAGATCAGTAGAATGTGTGGCTGTAGGATTAGATTGAGGAAGAAGTTCCAATAGACCATGAATTTTCTCTTTAGAAAGTCCGAGAGTTGAGGAATGTGACTGCGCTTGAGAATTATTAGAAGAAGGAACAACTGCAGAAGCCATTGAATTTCACAACCTCAAATTGGACAAAAATTTCATAACCCAAATCTCTGGAAACTCCTCCAGATTCCTTAAAATTCTCATTTAAAACCCTAGAAAGTAAAGTCAAAACATAAAACATAACGATGCGAGAGTAACAGAGGGACTATCCATAGAAGGAGAATAAATTATAGGAAAGCCAAGAACGAAAGGTAGAAGATGAAGATCTTAGTAGTAACACAATTGGTTGCGGAAGAACGTGATCAAGAATTTATTTTCTTCTGATACCATATTAGAAAGTGGGTTTAAGCCTAACTCATCCCCACAATACCGGCTTGTAAGGTGAGGTTTACACCTCACTTATATATATATATATATATATATATATATATATTATAATTTGGCCTTATCTCTAGTCGATGTGGGACTTCCAACACCCCCTTCATGTCGAGGTATAGACATCTCGAGCGTGATAGTAGAAATTGAGTGATCTGATAGCGACCTGACAACGAGTGGAATAGAAATGGCCAAGAAACAAGAAATATCGCTAGGATAGGCTTTAAATTGGCTCTGAAACCATGTTATGAGAAAAGAAAGGATGAAAATGTGTGTTTTTATCTAATAATAAGGAAAAAGTACAATTGATATATATATATATATATATATATATATATATATATAGTTGTTTAAAACAATATAAAAACAGACTATAAATATATAAAAATAAATGCACAGATATGAACGGAAAATAAATTAAATCCAATAGAAAGGAAAAAGATGGGTTCATTGTGCTTTTGTCCTCTTTTCTTGTAATATCAATAGTAATATTATAAAAATAATCAAACTATAAGTTAAATAACATCAAGTTAAATAATATGTTTCAATCAATTTCAAACACATGATTGAAATATGGAGTAAGGATGGATATTTTTGTAATGTCCCAATACTCCTAAGTTGCTTTTGAAGACTTCTACATGTGGATTGATAGCCAGACCAATGATGACGTCAACAACAAGTGTCCTCGCACCACTAGCTTGTTTAATTAAGAGTTCTCTCAATCTAGTGGCTCTTTTGATAGGTCTCGAAGTGGGTCCTTTATCCATTATAAATTCCAATGCTCAACCATATATCTGTTAAAATAAAATAAAAAAACAAAAAATATTAATAACATACTTATAACATATAACATATTATTTAACAAAACATGTAAATTTATACACAAATATATGAAATTCATACATAGAGTTATGGATTCTTCCTATGTATATAAGCTCATATATAAAAAATAGACAACATAATAGACAATTATAAGTTCATATTAAAATACATTTTCAAGATGATAATAGAAACTTGGGAACTCATAGTTAAGCAACAATGGAGAAGGATGCAACAATAATCGTGTTTTATAGAACTACATAATCCCACCTTTATGCTACAATACCTAGACACAAACATTAACAACATATTAATCTGACCACAACCACGCTCATCATGACAACAGAGATGAACGCAACACGATGGCGATAGTGAGGCACAAATGTTGTGCGATGGTGACAGTGAGGAACAAGCGTAGCGCGATGGCGACAACGAGGTGCAGAGAAGTGACGGTGGGGTTATTGAGGTTTGTAGTGAGTGAACAGTGGTTCGCAAAGAAAGGAAAAAGAAAATTGTGGAAGTGATAACCTCTATTTCTTTCGCAAATTTAACCCTAGGAAGACATATGAAAATAGTTATCTCAATAACAAAAACAATATCTACTCTATGAGTTCGGTTAATTATAAATTTGAAGCCTAAAGGTTGGTAATAAAATAAAAAGTGATAAATTTTGGTGGTAATTTTGAAATTTTGATTAACCTTTTGACATCTGTTTTGTAGAAAATCAAAGCAAAAAGATTATATGACATCGGTTCTATAGAAAACCGAGATGATATAGGTCCTGCTCAAATTAATGGGGTTTATTTTTAGAAATAATTAGATTAATTGTTATCTCCACATGATTTTAATTATTTTCAAGATAATGAAATAAAGTTTTTAATTTTACACTATTTTATAATGGTATCAGAAGTTATTTTTTTCTTATATTAATTAATTACTTGTGGCATCCAAAAATGAGTGTTATAATAAGAATCCTAATTTTGATCTTATGAAGATAATATGTGGCAATCAACTCTCATTACTTATCGCTCACCTTCTCATTTTTTTATAGTGTGGCTTCAATATCTTTCCCAAAATGAATATAATGCCCCTAGTTTCTCATCAATTGGTGTTAGAGTTCCGATTTTTCATATTGATGTTTCTTGTTTTTATATATACTTTTTCAAATTTGATTTTTATTTTTTATACTTATGACAAATACTAGTTCTAAAAGTGTTCATCAAGTTAGTAACTATCACAAATTATTTGTTGATCAGTTTGTTTCACACATGGAAAGGAAATTGAAAGAAAATTTTGAGGAGAGAAAAATGAAAGAAAAGGAAAAGGTAAGGTACAGAGATAAAAATAAAATATTTGATGAATATTAGAAAAGACATGCTTACTATGATGAAAGAAAGAGAGATGGAGAGAAAAATATTACTGAAGAAAAATAAATTAATTTTTTTTTTCTCATTAGAATTTTAGTTCTTCGTATATGTCTATGTCTATATCCATATATATAACTGGAAGCGGAAAATTTTAACACATGACACTTTCTCATTAATTCACAAGAAAACTTAAAAAAAAATTATCATCCCACTTAACTAAAAGAGGAAACCGAAAACCTACAATTTTAAGACTAGATATTATATTGGAGTAGATATTGTATCAGAATTTATTATATCAATAATAATTATTGGATTACAGTTATAGATAATATATGATATAGATAATGATTTTAAATTTCCGCCAGACCAATAATAGTTTCATTAAAAGGAAAAATTAAAAAAAATATCTACCAATTAACTATAAATATATCAAGTTACAAATTTAGCACATATGAATCACCCATGCATATTGATGATGTTATCAGTAATTACGTTGCTCACGCACTTCGCCAATGCTCAATTAATTTAAAATAAATTGATATCTATTTTATATTTTTATTATAGTAGTTTTATGTTTTTATCAATTTATATATATCACTTTTTAAATTTATATAATTTTTAAATAAATATTTTTTTTTTTAAATTTAAATTGAAAGACATTTAAAAGATCCTGCCATTAAAGAGTATTAAAAGTTATCCGGATACCCTATCAAAAAGATTTATAGGTGGCAATCTTAAATGTCTTTGACCGAAAAGCGTGTTGGGCAGCTAAAACTTCAATGAGAGGTAGACCTATGTTCCAAATCAAATAGCTTGCTTCTCAGACACTGCTTTTTCAGCTTCTGCAGAATGCACGGATGAATATCATTAATTATTAGGCACGCGTAGTCATTAATTAACACAACACATGTTTTATTTCTTTTTTTAACACTCTTTTTTAGGTGAATATGGAACCAAACAATAGAAGTGTATTTCCATTATGAGTGATTCTTCCTACGCTTGATTATTTTTATTCTGCATTTTCAATTTTACTTCTTTATTCTTTATTTAATAAAAAGTAAAAATTTAATTAATTAATGTTTCCTAACCGCACTTCGAAGTACGCTTTTTAGTGGTCGCATTTTGAAGTGTATTTTATATGTTTGTGGCACTTTAAATTGCGTTTTTCATATGTGCATGTTTTTCTTTTATTATGTTTTATGCTACGAATTTAAAAACATACATATAAAATAATTAAAAAATTATAAATAAATCCAAAATAATATTTAACAAAATTTATAGATAATAATTATAATTTAATTCAATAAAAAATTTAATAATTATTTCAATTTTATAAAAAATTAAATAAAATTAAATACATAATAAATGATATATTACGAAAATAATAATATGTTAAAAAATAACAAATTCAATAAAATTTAACAAACAAATAAAATAAATAAAAATATATTAAAAGAAAACATTTTATTTAACAACTACCATCAAAAATTAAATTTATTATACTAACCTAATAAAAATAAAACCTAATAAAATAAATATATACTAACCTAATAAAAAAATTTATAAAACATATAGAAATAAAACATAAACGGTATTTGAAGTCCGGCCAAGAGCGGTTAGTCTAAGCCGTTTATTATACTCACCTAATAAAACTAATAAAATAAAATATATTAACCTAATAACAAAAATTAAAAAACCTACAGAAATAAAAACCTACGGCATTCGAACTCCGACAACAACTAATTAACGCACTTCGAAATGCGCTTTCTTTGTCCACCTTTTCGCATTTCCAACTGCGGAAGAAGTCTGTGACCAAAATATTATCGTTGACTGTGCTAAGGGTATACTTGGAATTAAAATATATTTTGGAGGTGCAGGACGAAGGCAGTGAGATGCAGGGAGAATCACTCTTCTCAGAAACCCTGAACAATAGGAGTGTAAAAAGAAAAAAAGTAAAAAGAGAATACATGGTAAAAGAGTTAATGTAATTTTCGTATGCATTCCTGTTGTCTCATTTTGTTGGCCTGAGGAGCTTCCTTCGACTTTCCTTTCATTTAGAAAATTCTATCTTTCAAACTTTCTTCGTTGCTTGACTTCGAAAGTCAACAAGACAGGCCAAGAAATTAAGACTCGTTCGTACAATGCCAACTACTTACATACTGTTGCGAAGCAAATCATAATTGTAATGGAAGTGTTGTTCTTTTATTCATATAAGAAGGTTTAGAGCATATACCACAAATTTCATTTCAGGAAAATTGTAATGGACAGTTACTTTCTAAAAATCTTATTTGCAGCGTTTGTGTGCCTTCTGCATACCAAAGTACCCGTTCATGGATTCAACTCGCCATTACAGAGTTCACATTTGAAATGCATAGAGAGGGAGAGACAGGCACTCCTCACTTTCAAACAAAGTGTCCGAGATTACCATGGCATGCTGTCCACGTGGAGGGATGATGAAAATAACAGAGATTGTTGCAAATGGGAAGCCATTGAATGTAACAACGAAACTGGTCACATAGAGATGCTTGATCTTCGTGGTGATTCAACATCGCATTATTTGTCAGGTTCAATCAATATCACTTCGTTGTTTGAATTGAAAAATTTGGAATATTTGGATCTCAGCTTTAATGTTTTGTACGGAAGCCAAATTCCAGTGTCCATTGGCTCATTTCAAAGGTTAAGATATCTCAATCTATCACGGTCAGGCCTTTCAGGGACAATTCCTTATGAACTACGAAATCTGTCAAAATTAGAGTATCTTGATCTTAAAAGTAATGGTCTCGATGGAGAATTTCCTTCTCAAGTTGGAAATCTCTCACATTTAGGTTATCTTGATCTTTCAGGAAATTGCTTTTCTGGTGCAATCCCTCATGAACTTGGAAATTTGTCTCATATGATGTATCTCGATCTTTCAGGAAATTCACTTTCCGGAACACTCCCTTTCCAAGTCGGAAATCTTCCGCTCTTGCGTTCTCTTAGACTTGATGGCAGTTCCGGTCTTAAAATAAAAGATGAAAATTGGTTATCTTCTCTCTCATCATTAACAACTCTCAGTCTCCATTCATTTCCTTATCTTGACTTCTCTCATCCCTGGCTTCAAATTATCAGTGAGCATCTTCCAAACTTACGAGAGTTGAGTCTAGTCAAATGTGGTCTTTCAGATTATCATATTTCATCTTTGTTTCCTTCTCAATTCAACATTTCCACTTCACTTTCCATCCTTGATCTCTCTAATAATATACTAACGTCATCAACATTTCAGCTGTTGTCCAACTATAGCCCTAATCTCCAAGAGCTTCATATTTCTGACAATAACATTGTTTTGTCGTCTTCTCACTATCCAAACTTTCCTTCTCTTGTGGACCTTGATCTCACTACTAATAATCTAACTCAGGCATCAATACTTCAGTGGAATTTCAACTTCAGCACCAAACTGCAAAATCTTTACTTAGGAAATTGCGGTCTCACTGATAAAAATTTTCTTGTGTCATCTACTTCCATTAAAGATTCTCATTATCTTGTCACCCTTGATCTCTCACTTAATCTGTTGACATCGGCTATATTTGACTGGGTTTTCAACTGCACCACGAATCTACAAAGCCTTTACCTTAATGATAACTTGATAGAAGGTCCCATTCCATATGCATTTGGGAAAGTAATGAACTCTCTTGAAGTTCTCAGACTTGGCACCAACAAACTGAAAGGCGAGATTCCAGCTTCGCTTGGGAACATATGCACATTAAAGATATTATACCTTAATAGTAACAGTTTGAGTGGGAAAATTTCTAGCTTCATTCAGAATTCCTCAAGCTGCAACAGCCCTGCAATTGAGAAACTAGATTTATCTAATAACTTGATTTTTGGAAAACTACCTAATATTTCAGCGTTTAAATCTGTGCGATATTTGTATCTTTCCAACAATCAGTTAACTGGAGAAATACCAGAAAGCATTGGGTTGCTTTATAAGTTGCAGTTTCTTCGTCTTGAGGAAAATTATTTGGAGGGCGATATCAATGAATTGCATCTCACAAATTTGTCCCAATTGGTAGACTTAGACTTATCAGACACTCATTGTCACTACGTTCGGTACTACTTGGTTCCGTCTTTCCAATTATTTAGCATGACACTAGCTTCATGCAAGTTGGGTCCAACCTTCCCAAGCTGGCTCCAAACTCAAAGTCAGCTAATGTTCCTTGATATTTCGGATGCGGGGATTGATGACTTTGTACCAGATTGGTTTTGGAACAAGTTACAGTTTATAAATGAGATCAATATGTCTTACAACAGTCTCAAAGGCTCGATTCCAAATTTAACGATGGAGTTTCTCTCGGATGGTCCAAATGCAATAATTCTAAATTCAAATAATCTTCAAGGTGTAATTCCTACATTTTTGTCACAAGCTCAAACGTTGGATCTGTCAGGAAATAAGTTTTCAGATTTAAATACATTATTGTGCAGAAATAGAGTAACAAAAGGTATGATTACTTTGGATTTATCAAATAATCAAATAACGGGACAACTGCCTGAGTGTTGAGTTCATTAGCATTTCTTGATCTAAGAAATAATAAATTATCTGGAAAGATTCCACAGTCCGTGGGTACTCTCGTTAACTTGCAGGCTTTGGTCCTACGAAACAACGATTTTATTGGAGAAGTACCACCCACATTGAAGAACTGTTCAAACTTAGCTTTATTAGACGTGAGTAAAAATTTGTTGTCTGGTCCAGTACCTTTTTGGATACGGGAAAATATGCAACAATTGAAAATCCTGAGCTTGCGAGTAAATAATTTCTTTGGAAGTATTCCTGTACAACTCTGCTATTTGAGTGAAATTCAAGTCTTTGACCTCTCAAAGAATAACTTGTCAGGTGAAATACCAAAATGTTTCAGAAATTTTACCACATTGATGGAAAGGAGCGTAATCCCGAGGGAAAGGACACGAAAAATTTAGCCAGAAGAATCTTATGGAGATATTTATGACTCTTACTTGTTGTTGGCGTGGAAAGGTCAGGATCGTTGAGTTTTGGAATCCAAGAATCTTCTTAAGAGCATTGACCTCTCAAGTAACAATTTAACAGGTGAAGTACCCAAAGAGATTGGATATTTACTTGGATTGATTTCTTTGAATTTATCAAGAAACAACTTTCGTGGTGAAATTCCTACAGAGATTGGGAATTTAAGTTTGCTAGAGTTTCTGGACTTATCAAGAAATAATTTGTCAGGCAGTATTCCTTCCACTCTTTCCAACATTGATCGTCTTGGTGTGTTAGACTTATCAAACAATAATTTGAGTGGAAGAATCCCTTGGGGAAGACAGTTGCAAACCTTTGATGGCTCTAGTTTTGAAGGAAAGTTAATCTTTGTGGTAAGCAACTGAATAAAGTTGTCCTGGAAACAAGACACAAAATCCTAAAGAACCAGCCATTGGTGGTGAAGAAGACAATTCAATGTTCTATGGAGGATTTTATATGAGCTTGGGAGTAGGATTCTTTGTAGGCTTCTGGGGCTTGTTAGGGTCAATACTAATTTGGCAATCCTGGAGAATTGCTTATATGAGATTCTTGAACAGACTCACAGACTACATTCTTGTAATGGTTTAACTTAAGATTACCAAGTTCGATAGGCAGCTCAAAGGATAAAAGGTACGCTATTCCATTAAATTCTTTCTTTGAACTTGCTAGTGATTATTTCTCTGTTTATGTAGAATGTACTTTTTTTAGATAATAAGAATTCTATCCTACATACAATCAAGTTGTTATAACTATTGATGTTGCGTCTTTCTATTGTGAGTACACGTGTTAACTCATTATATCTCATACTTGTGTGGTCTCCTCTTTCTCACGGTCTCACAAATCGGTCCTTCATTAATTTTAAATTTCACATTGAATTTTGCCAAACTGTCTTTGTTAATTATTTAGTGCCCTACTAATAGGTAGTTTTCCAGAAAATCATTAATTTTCACGTGCATTAAATAATACAATTATGAGAGGCGTTGTTCTTGTTTAGACCAAGTTTTCTTGTTTTGAAGACACTCCTATGATGTTAACCTTAGTTAGTCTGTATTTTCTTCATCACGACACATTCAATGTATGTATTGTGATTGTATCACAGAATTTGCATGTTTGATGATGAAAAGTGTGAAAGCTGCATGAATTACTGGAGTAGGTATTGAGATTCACAATGTACTGCAAAATAACGGGTTTCAAGAAACAAGTTTGTTTCATTAACCTTCTATTGTTGTAATTAAGCGTAACTTTTCTTATTTCTTCCTATAATGTGTTAACGTTTTTCACATTGACTAACCCACATTTTATAAGTATGATATTGGATAAACAAAAACAAGTTTGTGTTGCTAAATGAAGGAGAGAGTTTTATGGTTCATTCATATACTATCTACAGTTGTATCCTTTCTTTCTTGGTTCAAACAAAAGAGTTCATTTTAAAAGATATCGTGAATACTAAAATAATATTATTACTACTTCATGTTAACACACATTAAACTTATAACTGATTCGGTGCTCGATTGTTCGTAAAGCTCACATCATACTTTTGGGTCCATCCCCTTACGAGAATTGCATGAATGGTTCGTGTACAACATCATAACCGTAGTCTGCAGCAACCGTTAAGAATTATCAATTAGAATTGAGTTATATCCACTTTTTATATTATTATTAATTATGTATTACCACGGTCACTTTTAGCATTATTTTTATCACTATCTTTTATTATCATGCCAGGTTTTCTTGGCTGTTGATACATGAGTTCTTGGCTTTGATAACATTATAATCATAATTAGTGTAACTAAATTATTACATTTCGTATCACATCTTCGTCGTCATTTGATTAGGAAAATAAAAAGTATAATAAATTCGAATTTAAAAACAAATGAGGGACAAAAAAAGGTTGTCAGATGTACTTGAGTACCAAGCAAAAGGTAAAGTTATATTAAGAAGCTTTTGAAATGTTGTCCGGACTAACTAAAGTTGGGAGATTGGACTAAATAGGGCATTAATACAAAATTTATTAAAGATTTTAAAATCTGCAAATATATGAATATAGCGTTTGAATACCTAGACATATCAAAAGGGGAACCAAGCAAAAACCTGTTGTGGTAAGTTATTATTTCTAACTTCAGAAACATGTTAACTGGGTAAAAAGATAGATTGTTATTTTTGCTTATATGCTCATAAAATCAATAATCTCAACACTAGTATACTTTTTATCTTTTTTCAAACCATCAAAAAAGGTGTGTAATGAACTCACAAAAATACAAAGAAATTTTCTTTAGGGTTAGAGTTTTGAGAATAAGAAGATAGCTTAGGTCAAGTAGAAAAACTTATGTAAATCCAGGGAAGAAAGATGGGATGCTATAAGAGATATTTGAAACTTTAATATAACTTTATTAGTGTTAGATAAAAATAACAAATACATTAGTAAAAAATAACAAGTAATAAATATTATTCTCTCTATAGAGACATGCGCAACGCATGATAATTCTCGCAATCTATATTTCAAATACATAACAAAACAAAAACACAATGAAACTCTTTTTATACTTTTATTATGAAATAATTGCAACAAAAATTGAATATAAAGTATATATAATTGTTAAGACTATATTTCGTTCACTTAATTCTCATGCATTTCAGAAACATCTCTATTCCATATTCAAGTTAAAATCAACTCACAAAAATACTCAAATTCCTAGTGCCTTTGAATCCATGATAATTGATCAAATTTCAATTCCTTGAATACTCAACAAGCATCCAATGCATTAAGTTCAAGAGTTTTAAGATTCCTAATGAATAAAATTTTATTCCTAGATACAAGCTTTGTTAGGCATTGAATTTCAGTTCTAGGTTCAAAAGACATTTTTCAATGCCTAAAAACTACAAATCATGGATGAGTGGCAAAACCAAAGAAAACATTAAGCATGAAAATCAAATACTAACATTGAAATGGAAAAATATATGTATTAATATCACAAATACACAAAAAACTAGTTTATTACATCTAATTTCAACAAATAGGGTTAATTCTCCATGATGGAGAACTTAGGGTTTACATAGAAGAGACAGAGAAGAAGTGAAAACCAAAGCTAAAATGCAAGCCTTATCCAAGGTTCATCGTAGTTGCTCCATGCTCCAATTGTGCCTCCCCTTCACATTAACACCTTTAATTCATAGATCTTGACCGTTATCAACCCTAGAAAAAACACCATGGATAAAGATTGAAGACCCAAGGAAGAGGTAGAAAGTTTCTAAACACCTCAAACAACCTCTAAGGGCCTCTCTCATTTGCTCTAGAGGTGGAGAGAAATCATGGGTCGAAGAGAATTAGTCAAACCCTCGTAGAAGACATGTATAAATATCCATTTTTTCCATGTTAGTGATGTCATCACTCGATGTCATTTCAATACCTCTAGGCGCCATCAATTAAAATGCGAAACAACAACCATATTGAAGCCACCGCCCAACCACAACCAAGCATTGATAGCCAACCACCTTTAAGTGTCTGATGCTCAGCAACTAAATTTTCTCCACAATGATAAGATATTGTTCGTTTTGGGTCAAGCCCTCACAGATTTACTTTTGGTACTACTCCAAAAAGCCTCTTAATAATGGAGATATGTTATGTGTATATAAACCCATGTTCATCTCTTATTTTTTCCGATATGGGACTTTGTTTGTACTCAACATCCTCCCCTCAAACAAAGGACCACCTCCCTTACAGCAGAAGTCTTTTTCTTATCCTCAAGTACACCATGGTTAACACTCTCTCTTTCACGATCCATGGTCAAACACTGAGCATCTCTTGCTCTCCACCTCTCATGTGGGACTTTGTTTGTATCCAACAGGATGAACCACTATGCTTTAGGTTTCCTAGGCTTTATACAATCTCTAATTGTAAAGATAGAACTCAAGGAGAGGTTGGGGTTGAGAGGAAAATACATGGATGTGGAATCAACATGAAAGAGAACTAGTTGGGATTAGCAAACATCTTAGGAGCTACAAATTCTTCAATCTATAAATGGCCAAAGGGTGAAGAAAGGAAGCCCATATACCTATGTTTGGAAGGAAGATGATAATGATGTCTTCACGATAAAGTCAACATATAACATTCTATAGAGAATCCTAGATGTGGAGGTGTGTAGTGCATATAAANTATACTTTTTATCTTTTTTCAAACCATCAAAAAAGGTGTGTAATGAACTCACAAAAATACAAAGAAATTTTCTTTAGGGTTAGAGTTTTGAGAATAGGAAGATAGGTCAAGTAGAAAAACTTATGTAAACCCAGGGAAGAAAGAAGGGGACATGGTATAAGAGATATTTGAAACTTTAATATAACTTTATTAGTGTTAGCTACAAACAACAAATGCATCCGTCAAAAATAACAAATAATAAATATTGTTCTCTCTATAGAGACATGTGCAACTAATGATAATTCTCGCAATCCACAATTCAAATAGATAACAAAACAAAAACACAATGAAACTCTTTTTATACTTTTATTATGAAATAATTGCTTGTGCAACAAAAATTGAACATAGAGTATATATAATTGTTAAGACTAGATTTCATTCACTTAATTTTCATGCATTCAGAAACATCTCTATTCCATATTCAAGTTAAAATCAACTTACAAAAATACTCAAATTCTTAGTGATTTTGAGTCTATGATAATTGATCAAATTTCAATTCCTTGAATACTCAACAAGAAACCAATGCATTAAGTTCAAGAGTTTTAAGATTCCTAATGAATAATATTTTATTCCTAGATACAAGCTTCGTTAGGCACTGAATTTTAGTTCTAGGTTCAAAAGACATTTTTCAATGCCTAAAAACCACAAATCATGGATGAGGGGCAAAACCAAAGCAAACATTAAGCATGAAAATCAAATACTAACATTGAAATGGAAAAATATATGTATTAATATCACAAATACACAAAAAATTAGTTTATTACATCTAATTTCAACAAATAGGGTTAACTCTCCATGGTGGAGAACTTAGGGTTTACATAGAAGAGACAGAGAAGAAATGAAAACCAAATCTAAAATGCAAGCCTTATCCAAGGTTCGTCGTAGTTGCTCCATGCTCCAATTGTGCCTCCCCTTCACATTAACACCTTTAATTCATAGATCTTGACCGTCATCAACCCTAGAAAAAACACCATGGATAAAAATTGAAGACCCAAGGAGGAGGCAAAAAGTTTCTAAACACCTCAAACAACCTCTAAGGGCCTCTCTCATTTGGTCTAGGTGGAGAGAAATATGGGTCGAAGAGAATTAGTCAAACCCTCGTAGAAGACATGTATAAATATCCATTTTTTCCATGTTAGTGACGCCATCACTCGATGTCATTTCAATACCTCTAGGCGCCATCAATTAAAATGCGAAACAACAACCTTATTGAAGCCACCGCCCAGCCACCACCAAGCATTGATAGCCAACCACCGACCACCTCCCGACCACCTTCTAAGTGTCTGATGCTCAGCAACTAAATTTTCTCTTTCACTTTGTAGCCCTAGGTGATATTCCTATTGTGCCCGTCCTAGGTATTTGCCTCATAAATCACCCTTTTCTTGTCTGAAACATGCCCCTTGAGTTCTTGTTTGTTTTCCTCCACTAAAACTATTTTCTATTTATTTATTTCATAAACTTAAACAAAGAGATTAGATGTAAAATATGCATAAAATAACTAAAATAAAAAACAATACAAAACAAACTAACT